CCAAGAACCCTTCTTTTGCCTCTGTAACTTGTTTCCAGAGCCCACACAGCCCAGATGGCTCGTTTCTTCTACCTTTGTGACTTTCTAAATAAACTTTCTCCTTCACTAGAGTTCTTGGTACTGAATTCTTTCTTACCTAAACTCAAGGACTGAGGTCTGACATTCACTGCTAACACAAACTACATAATAACATTAATGATTTTCTAGCCACATCGTAAAGCTAAACTTTCAAAAGATTGTGGAATATAAGTTAAGAGCAACTGGAACTTCTTCCATTAAAAAAAAAAGATGAATATTAAGTGCATTAAAAAGCCTTAAAATACTGAACAAAATAAATTCTTTGAGATTCATTCTATTATTGATGCTGCTACCTCATTTGCTATCTCAATAAATAATGCTTTAAAATTTGGCATTCAACAAAGCAAAAGATAACAGGAGACTAAAGTAAAAACAATGCCTAAAAATATATGAAAACAAAAATTTCTGCTCTTCATGTCAGAACAAAGTCCCAAGATGAAATTCACATGATTCATAGTTTCTATAGTATAAAAAGCAATCACCATGAAAAATGATGTTTAAATGTTCTATTTCAATTTTAAGACTAAAGAAAGTTACTTCAGTTTAAAGACTGAAATAAGTTTCTTTTTAATTTTCTTCTGGAGAAAGTTTTTGATTTTTGCTGTCAGATCCACATTTTCAGGAGGGCCAGGAAACAAGGTTTAATAATAGAAGTGAATAGGCACTTCTCCCAAAAGTTCTATACTTTTTTTTTAAACTTTTTTATTGATTATGCCATTACATTTGTTCTATTCCCCCCTCCATTCCCCTAGTTCTATACATTTTTATCAACAAACTGATTTAGGGAGAGCACAAGAAAACATCTGAATTCACAGAGTACTTCTTCTGGGTCTGATCACCCGGACAGTGGGGATGTGCTGTAGGAAGCCTTAGTGAGGCTCAGAAAGACTGAAAAGAGTTGGGAGGTTCTAAAGCAGCCGTGACTAAAGCAATCAAGACAATTTCAGTCAGACAGCTCTGACCCTGGGAAGTGACCAAGGAAACTGTTCACTGGTTTCTGAAACAGCTGCCTGATGTACACCCCTCAAACCCCCCAAATGCTGGACTGTGACTAAGGAAAAATTCTGAGTATTGTATAAATTATTACATCACAGCACATAGCTGATCATCTGCCATCTTGGTTGCTTAATTAAGAGATCCCTGATGCCTTTTCATAGAAGAGTAACTCCAATGGCCAGTAGTAATAGCTGCTCGACTACAGTCATGCATCACTCAACAATGGACATATTTACATTCCGAGAAATCTGTCAATAAATGACTTGGTCATTGTGCAACTATGACAGTTCACTCATACAAACCTAGATGGGGTAGCTCACTACACACCTAAGGCTATTATTCTGGAGGGGAGAAAAAGAATTTTCCTTCTACTCTTCTGGATTCTTAATTGAGCCATCCCAGAAATAAAAGCCAGGTTAAAAAGAAAAAAAACAAAAGTCTAGTAACACATATACCTCTATATACATAGGAGAGGCCCAGAAAAACGGAGTTATTCACCAAAATGGCTGAAGCAACTTTAAATACCATCTTCAGCTGAAGACAAAAGAAGATGTTGGGGGTGGGGGGTTCAGTTAGGGACAATTACCAGGAAAAGCCCATCGTATCAAGGTTCAGGTTGTTAAGCAGATTCAAGTTATTGCCGTCTGCACTGATAAGAATTTCTGAAGATAAGGTCACTCAGTGAGGGAGACATATGGAGATTTCCCTTATAGATGTAAATGCCTTTTAGAAAGTGTCACTTCTACTTGGTTTTAAAACTTCTCCGGGGTCTGCTGTTTCTTGACTAACCTATAATAATCCTTATGCTAAATAGGCATGTTTGGGAGTGATAAATTCTGTGCCCCTACAGTTCCTACACTACAAACCTGTATAGCATGGTACCATGCTGCACACTGTTGCCAAGTGTAACACAATAATCTGTGTGAGGCGTTGCACTATGAGTTACAATGGGTGTGATATCACTAGGCAGTAGGAATTTTTCACATCCACTGTAATCTTGTGGGACTACCATTGTATATGCAGTTGAGTAAAATATCATTGTGTGGCATATAGTTATATATAGCCCCTACTGTATATAGCCAGACACTGTTCCTCGTGACCACTTTATGAGACAGAGAGTATTAGAACATCCATTTTACAGGCTAGGAAATTGAGGCATAGAGCGATTACATAATTTACTTAAAGTCACACAGTAAGTATTGGAGCCAGTATTCAAACACGGGCAGTAAGGCTCCATAGCTTCTATTTATGGAATTTGATACTATCTTTCTAACACTGTACTTCCCAAAATGAAGAACAGCCATAGAGCAAACATATGGAGCAACTACCTCAGTGATTTGGAAATACGAATGTCTTCAGAGTTATAGAAGTAACTGAGACTGGTGTCAGCCAGAAGCTGCTGAGTCACCTTAAGAAGATGGAAAGACTCTCAGGACAGCAAACTCCTTGACTACTACACAGAGGTATCACCGGTCTGGAGAGGTGATCTGTTAGTCTCACGTGGGCACTGGTGAGCCGTGGGAGCCTAGGAAAGGCAGCCAGGTTTGGGCCAGGTGGGGACTGTCAGTGCAGGAGTGCCCATGCCCTGCCCGAAGTGTCAGGCCCCACCGGGAGGTGGATTAATCCAACCTCCATCCTGGGAATCCCTCATCTCATCTATCCCACGTAGTTTCAGCAGAGCACGGCTGGAGCAAGCTACACAAACACCCAGTCTGTTAAACATTAACAACTGGTATTTTGGTTCATAGACTTGTGTGGTTATCAGGGTGAATCAGCTTCCTTATAGCCGATCAGCTCTGGAGCACCAGAGAGAAGATATTTCTGGAGTCCAGCCCTGCAGGTTCCAGGGTCAGGTTTGGAACCAGTTTTACCAAGGGTTCTATGCCACCCTACATGTCTCCTGGCAACCAACCCATCCCTTCCCCTAGTGACAACCTGACTTCACTATATAAACAGCTTAGAAAAATTATATGAGACATCCTAAACACAAATACAGGCCTTTCTAGTTTGGAAAGATAAAGGCAACACTGTTACACCTCTAAAGTTTGTAATAGTTTGAAAGACATGGCTAGGATGAACATGCACTTGTTTGCCAATCTCTAGAATAATTACAGTAAAAAGTCTTTTTTTAAACAAATTGAAGAAGTTGTTTGTAAAGAGATGCATCTTAGTGGATATAAAAGTCATTCCAAGGAGATTAAAATGCATTCCCTTCAGTGTTTATCATGTATACACTAAATTCAAAGTACTGAGCTGGGCACTCAAAGGAAACATGAAAAGCAAGCAATGGCAAAGACCATGTTCTCTGCCCTCAGTTTTGCAGTCTAAGAGAAGGTAAGACAAAGCACCAAAAACCTGCATCGGAAAAGAGGTTAATAGGGGCGGATCGAAGGCAAGCGAGATCCCATTTTTTGAAACAGTTAGCATGGGCACCACTGGTTGTCCGTGGACTCCACGTTAAGAAGTCTTTCGGGATTGCTGGGCAGACAATTGTCAGGAAGGCCAGTAACCGAAATACCCTCACTCTCTTGCCTCGACGACTCCCCACCCCACCCGGCATGGAGTCAGCTTATCTATCATTTGGGGAACTGGGTTTAAGAAGCGGTTTCTTTCCAGATGACATCTTCTTGAATAAACAGTGTCACATCTTAAGAAAAATAATGTCTCCTGCTCACTCCTCAGGCTGCCCCACCCCCCATCTACAGAAAATTTAAAACAATCCCAAGGTTCCAAAAGAACAGAAAAGGGAGAAAAGTGTCCTCTGGTGTTCCAGAAAGAAACACCCTTTCCGTATCCGGGGCACTGTAGCTCGCCCCAGGTACGTGTGAGAGAACAGCCCCAGGTACGTGTGAGAGAACAGTCTCCTGAACCTAAACGTGGCACCAACACCATCTCCAAGGTCCTGGGAAGTATGGAATGTGCTGGTAAACCTGGAGTCAGAAGCCTGGGGCTGCATCACTTTTGATCTCAGAAGCCCAAGAAGCTTAAAAGACTGGAAAAATGGAATAGCAACATGCAGGCAAGTTGCGAAAACTGTCTCGAAATCTGATGGAAGGTGATGTAACAAGAATCAGAGCACTCCTCTGAGGAGTGTGCACTCCTAAACTCCACGCTATTCTTATGCAAGATCAACATAGAAAGGGGCTTGTAAGATTACATCACTTTTGAAGTCTTTCAGTTCTTTCATTATTGTTGACTTTATTCATTGGGAATGAAAATGCCAAATCCAACCTTGTTTTTTTGTTGTTGGTTTGGTTTTTGCGAAGTGTACAGGTAAGTGCGAATACGTGTAGGGGATGAAGCCTGTTTCCCTAGGAGGGGAATAGTTGAGTAAATGACCTTTAGCATTTCAGCTCTGCCTTCATATGCTGTGTATCTTTATGAAAATTACTTAATCTTAAGTTTTCTCCTCTGTAGAATGGGGGTAGTCAAGCTATTTAGATTACCCTCTAGTGAGCGTCATATTGGAAAACATAAATCCTTTAGCACACTGCCTGACACATACCAAGCTGACAGCACCAGGTTGCATTTCTTAGCATTTTAAACCAGTTATTGACCATTAAGAAGCGGGGGAAGAGTGGCAGCCCGGAATCATACCTCCCTATGATGCGAGTAAATATATTTAGATGTCCTTTGGCTAGCACTTTGAGGCAAGCCGAGTCGTGCAGGAGCGAACGGATTTGCCTGCCAAGAACTGTGGCCAACACTTTTTAAGTTCGCAGGAATACAAACCCCATGCCCTTCTCCCGGGCAAACTCAGAGCCACAACAGTGCTAAAGCGAGCCTTGTCAGTCCCCCGCAAGAGCGCGCTCCTTGGCGGCCACTCAGAACCCCGACACTCGCTAGAAGTAAACTTGGCGGGGCCCGGGGCTCGGCGGGGCGCGCGCAGGCAGCGCGGAACCTCTCCGCGGGCGCGCTGTGCTCACCTGCCAGGCTGGGCGGCGCGGCGGCGGCCAGCAGTAGCAGTAGCAGCAGCAGCAGCGGTGGCGGCGGGGCCGAGGGCGCGGGCAGCCGGGGGAGGCGCCCGTCCGGGCTGCGGCGGGACGTTGCTCTGCGGTCGCGATATCGCTCTGCGGTCACCATCTCCCCTGGGCTGGACCAGGTGGCCAGCAGTGGCAGCTGCTGGGAGAGCGGCTCGAGGGCCGGCAGAGGCGCGCAGCGTCTCAGAGTTGGAGCGTCCTTAACTTCCCTCTTTCATTACTTCTGCTCGTTTGGGGCTTTAGAGGTCCCGGAAGCCTCACGTGGCCTTGGGAACAACCTTCGCCCTATGGTGCCTCGGTCTGGGAAAGGCGGGTCCTTCGTGACCCTCTAGCGCCCAGTGGGCCGGGCTGGGAAAGTTCGCCGCAGCACTTCTGGGATCTAACAGCGTTACGCACTACTTTCTCTGCTCCTCGGGCTGTTTTGCAGCCCTAGGTTTGAACAAATCAGTTCACGTCAGCACCACTAGCCTGAGTCTCCAGGGCCGGCCACTCCTCTGTAGAGGAAGGTTGGGGGAAATGCATGCCCCTGCTTACAAGCAGCTCTGATTCTTTGCCGTTCTGGAAAGGTCTTCACAGGTCCCTTCTCCCCCAAGGATCAGCACCCCTCCATCCCAGGCTGTTTAACCTAAATCCATTTGCTGCAGCTCAAGACTTTGGTTTCTTTGCTTTTTTCTTCATTGGCTGGAGCCACCACTGGAGAGAGATTCAGACAGAGCTGTGAAGTCCCCATTTCTGTGCAGTCAGTTGAAAGTGACATTGTGAAGTAGGCAAAACTATGCCTTGGGTGACATTGTGAAGGTGGCAGAGGGTGCCCTAGGTGACATTATGAAGTAGGCAAAAGGTATTTTATTCATTTAATAAGCATTTATTGAGCCCATCTGGTGAACCAGGTAGCAGTGGTTTTATACAGACAAGAGCATGACCTACCACAGCCAAGAAGGCACAAAGCCATATGCCCAAATTTTTGAGGGAAAAATAAGGGTGCACATTGTACATGGATAGTACTAATTCCGTATCTATGTACCTTGTATCTGTTCTTGTGTTTTGTAATATTTGTTACATAAAATTTCTTGTACCACAATTCGTTCAAAAATAAATGCTAAAATTCTTTTATAATACCAAGAAAACTGTGGAGGATGGTGAAGTCTGGCGTCCTGCAGCCAGACCCTGCAGGGATTAAGAAGGAGATAGTTAACCACGAGCTTCAGCTGAACACGACTGTAGCTTTTGCAGAAGAAATATTTATCATTTAGATAGCCTGGGAACGGAGCGATTATGCCTGCAGTTCTTTCCTGAGTCTGCAAAACGTCCTTGAGCTTTCTCTAACTAACCCTTATAAAATAAACGCTGAGAACATGTTCAGGGTCATTGTCTCTCCACCGCGGCCTCTGCTTTTCCTTAAACTGTCTGTGTCTTTCTTCATCTCTCCCATTGACCCCACTTAGGAACCCCCACTCTGTGCTGGTTGGGGCAAAAAACCAAGTGTCTAAATATAAATAAATAAATAAATAATTGGGTTAAAAAACTAAAATAAAAATTTTTTTTTCTTGAGAGTTTGGGCCCAAAATGTGAGGGTGCACTATACATGGCAAAATTCAGTACATACACAGGTACTGGAAAGTGGCCATTAGCACTGTAGTAGAGCTAGCTCTAAGGGAGGTACAGATGGGACAAGCCACAACACGGCCCGCAGTTAGACACCCACTCTTCTTAGTCTTCTTTGAAGCTTAATTGAAGTGTTAAGGGGCGATGAGAAGAGAGAACAAAAGTCACCTTTCCTACAGCAGGAAATAAGCTGATTTGAAGGTTCAGCCTTTCTGGTCAATGCTGTGATGTGCAGGAATCCGCTGTTGGCATCTGCAGCTCTTGGCCTCTGGCCTAGGTTCCCATACACTGTGCGTATTGGTTAGGGTAATGCTAGTATTAACAAAAATTACAAAAGAAATTAAAAGTTTTGTTCATATACGATTTGCAAATCAGAGAAGGTAGCCCTCAGTAGGACTTGAAGACATCTTCCCAGGTGGGGGGTAGGGAGAAGAACATAGCTTTAGAAGGAGAAGCATTGCTAGGAAACAAGGTTATGAAACGTACATCATTCATGTCTAATTGGTGGGGGCAACTGAGGTTTTTTTCTTAAAAAAAAAAAAGATTTTATTTATTTATTTTTAGACAGAGGGGAAGGGAGGGAGAAAGAGTGGGAGAGAAACATCAGTGTGTGGTTGCCTCTCTTGTGCCCCCACTGGGGACCTGGCTTGCAATCCAGGCATGTGGCCACACTGGGAATTGCACCAGCAACCCTTCGGTTCACAGGCCAGTGATCAATCCACTAAGCCACAACAGGCAGGGTGAATTTTCTTTTTCAAAAACTGTTATTGATTTTTAGGGGGAGGAGAGAGAGACATCGACTTGTTATAGAAACAAACATCAATTTGTTGTTCAACTTATTTATGCATTCATTGGCTGCTTCTTACCCTGAAGAAGTATTGAACCCACAACCTTGGCACATCAGGATGGTTCTCTAACCAACTTTGCTATGTGGTTGGGGCTGAACTTTCAATGTTAAGAACAATGGGTACATGCCATCAAACATTTATCGGTGTCCTAATTTTGGTTTGGGTTCACAGAACAAAGGTTTTTTGGTCCAGTGCTTCCAGTACTGAGGATGTTGCTTGTCAGCTGCACAGAGGGTATGATTTATCAAACAGTCCAATCAGCACAGGTTTGCTTGCTCTGCAGCTGCTTTCAGAGCCCAAGAGGGCAAAGAAATGCTTTGGAGCATCATCAAAGCTCAAGGTGCAAACATCCAAATGCTGGACCACAAGTTATGGTATTAATAGTTCTCCGAAGTCCTCACTTTGGACTTGGGAGAACTCTAAAAGTTCAGTAGGCTAATGCAACAGAAGTTTATTTCTGGCTCATATACCAATTCAATGTGGGAGTTCTTAATTGGTAGGTGGCTTTCCTGCATGAAACCCAGTCTCCTTTCATCTTGTGGTCCCACCATTTCCAAAGGCAGAGGTTCCCAATTGTTCTTGGCTCATAGTACCTTTAGAGTCTCAATAATATATTCTTGGGGCTGCAGGCCACAGGAAATAGCTAACAGTTCCTTTCAGTAATTAGGGGCAAACAATTTAATAATAATAGTCATTTGCACAGTGTCCTGGACAGTAGTACTACTACGTTTTCCTAAAAATTTATAATACCTCTTTACCTGCTGTTTTGTTTTCCATGGTTTCAGTTACTTAAGGTCAACCATGCCCCCAAAAAATGAAATGGGAAATTCCAGGAATAAACCATTCCTAAGTTTTAAACCATGTCCTGATCTGAATGGACAGTAGTACTGGACAGTAGTACTACTATGTTTTCCTAAAAATTTATAATACCCCTTTACCTGCTGTTTTGTTTTCCATGGTTTCAGTTACTTAAGGTCAACCATGCCCCCAAAAAATGAAATGGGAAATTCCAGGAATAAACCATTCCTAAGTTTTAAACCATGTCCTGATCTGAATGGCGTGGCGAAATCGAGCCACCTTGCTCTGCCCTGCCCAGGATGTGAATTATCCCTTTGCCCAGCATGTCCACACCGTAAAGGGCTCCCTGCCTGTCAGCCACTCAGCGGCCTTCTCAGTCACCAAACTGCCTGTTGCGGGATCCCAGTGCTGGTGTCCCAGTCACCTTTATATTACTTAACAATGACCACAAAGTGCATGAGTACTGATGCAGGCAATTCAAACATGCCCAAGAGAAGCTGTGAAGTTCTTCCTTTAAGAGAACTTCCTTTTTTTTAAGTTCTCAACTTCATAAGGGCAGAAAAAAAATCACTTGCTGAGATTGTTAAAATCTGTAAGAAGTACAGAGCTTCCACCTGTGTAACTGTGAAGAAGAAAAAGGAATTCGTGCTGGTTTTGCTGTTGTATCTCAAACTCAGATGTCACAGCCACAGCGCCTGATAAGTGTCTAGTTAAGAGGGAGCAGGCATTGCATTTGTGGGCAGTAGGGACTCTGATCTAGTGTGTGTCAAACAGTGAGACAACTGCCTTCAGGCTCATCTCCCCAGGCGCCTCCCTCGGTCACTGCTACTCTCCCACTCGGGTGTATGTGGGGCACACAACTCTTTTGCAAGTTCATGACTACATTCTGGACAGTTTAAACATAATCTCCTGGTAATTCCAGGCCCATCTAGAATTTCTATTACCAAATATTTCGACACCCCACCCCACTCATTAAGTAGGTAACTCATCTCCTGGAGAGAGGGTGGGGCTGGCCCTTGCATCAACCCACTACATATTCTCTATTAGTGCCTCAGACTTTTTACTTGTTTGACAAGAAACCAATTCAACCTTCTTATACCTCCTTATTCCAATGTATTGTTCTTGAATATACTTTGCCCTTTTATTTTAATCTGTGTCTTTCAATTTTCCAAGCCAAGCTTTCAATATCTCAAGATATTTTTCTCTTTCAGAGGCATAGATTTTACATTTAATGGTTTTGAAGACTGTGGCTTCTGTCTACTCAAAATCTCAAAAAGCCACCGATTTTACCCTGATTTTTAAATATTTTTATCTTCTCCTGCCTTGAACAATAAACATTAGACTCTTGGAATGTAACTTGGAATAAACCTAATTGTGGAAGATTTACTAGGTTAAACAAAAACTTCTCAGAAGAAAAGTGTTTTGAGTAATATTTAGAATACTAGCTAACTATTCTTCTGTATATTTACTTCTGTAATTAATTTTCCTTCTGTGTAATATTTTTTTTTTGTCTTCCAGTATTGTGTGTAGATTGTTTTGGTAGTTAAACTTAGCATTTGGTCCTTAAGTGTCAGAATATTGATTTCAGCCCTGGCTGGTGTGGCTCAGTGGTTTGAGTGCCAGCCTGTGGCCCCAAAGGTTGCCCTGTTCAATTCCCAGTCAGGGCACATGCCAGGGTTGTGGGCCAGGCCCCCAGTCGTGGGCATGTGAGAGGTAACCAATCAACATCTCTTGGACCAGTGTTTCTCTCTCTCCTTCTCTCTCCCTTCCCCTCTGTCTAAAAATAAATAAATAAAATAAAATCCCAAAGAACATTGAGTTCAAATTGCTGCAGAACCAAAGAAAGGGTTGACATCCTTCAGAAATCGTGGGCTTGGGCTTGCTGCTGGTGGAGCTTGTTTTGAGTGCTTGTAACACAATTCTGTACTGTCTTTCTCCCCTCTCTGCTTTTCACTTGCTCATCTTCTGTGTAAGCTGCCATCCACTCTAATCTCTAGCCCATGGGTATCTTGCACAAAAGAGGATCTGTCATTGGTCAGTGATTGGAATGCCACTAGCATGTCTTGGCTTCGGGACCATGGTGCAA